ATAGTCAGCATATCATTATAGTCATCAGTTGTATCATCAATATCAGAGTTATAGTCATCAATATCAGAGTTATAGTCAGCAACATTAGAGTTGTAGTCATCAATATCAGAGTTATAGTCATCAATATCAGAGTTATAGTCATCAATATCAGAGTTATAGTCAGCAACATTATAGTTGTAGTCAGCAACATCAGAGTTGTAGTCATCAATATCAGAGTTGTAGTCAGCAATATCATAGTTATAGTCATCAATATCAGAGTTATAGTCAGCAACATTATAGTTGTAGTCAGCAATATCAGAGTTATAGTCAGCAATATCAGAGTTGTAGTCATCAATATCAGAGTTATAGTCATCAATATCAGAGTTGTAGTCAGCAATATCAGAGTTATAGTCATCAATATCAGAGTTATAGTCAGCAATATCAGAGTTGTAGTCAGCAATATCAGAGTTATAGTCATCAATATCAGAGTTATAGTCATCAATATCAGAGTTATAGTCATCAATATCAGAGTTATAGTCGTCAGAGATATCAGAGTTATAGTCATCAATATCAGAGTTATAGTCAGCAACATTATAGTTGTAGTCAGCAACATGATAGTTGTAGTCAGCAATATCAGAGTTGTAGTCATCAATATCAGAGTTATAGTCATCAATATCAGAGTTATAGTCATCAATATCAGAGTTATAGTCATCAATATCAGAGTTATAGTCATCAATATCAGAGTTATAGTCATCAATATCAGAGTTATAGTCATCAATATCAGAGTTATAGTCAGCAATATCAGAGTTATAGTCATCAATATCAGAGTTTAAGTCATCAATATCAGAGTTATAGTCAGCAATATCAGAGTTATAGTCAGCAATATCAGAGTTGTAGTCATCAATATCAGAGTTATAGTCAGCAATATCAGAGTTATAGTCATCAATATCAGAGTTGTAGTCATCAATATCAGAGTTGTAGTCAGCAACATTATAGTTGTAGTCAGCATCATCAATATCAGAGTTGTAGTCAGCAACATTATAGTTATAGTTGTAGTCATCAATATCAGAGTTATAGTCATCAATATCAGAGTTATAGTCAGCAATATTATAGTTATCATCAGTTGTAGTCATCAATATCAGAGTTATAGTCAGCAACATCAGAGTTGTAGTCATTATAGTCATCAATATCAGAGTTATAGTCAGCAACATTATCAGAGTTGTAGTCAGCAATATCAGAGTTATAGTCATCAATATCAGAGTTATAGTCAGCAACATTATAGTTGTAGTCAGCAACATCAGAGTTGTAGTCATCAATATCAGAGTTGTAGTCAGCAACATCAGAGTTGTAGTCATCAATATCAGAGTTGTAGTCAGCAATATCAGAGTTATAGTCATCAATATCAGAGTTATAGTCAGCAACATTATAGTTGTAGTCATCAATATCAGAGTTGTAGTCAGCAATATCAGAGTTATAGTCAGCAATATCAGAGTTGTAGTCATCAATATCAGAGTTGTAGTCAGCAATATCAGTTATAGTTGTAGTCAATATCAGAGTTATAGTCAGCAACATTATAGTTGTAGTCATCAATATCAGAGTTATAGTCAGCAACATTATAGTTGTAGTCAGCCATATCACAGTAAGATCCGAGGGGCCTATCAGCAATATCTCAGTTTTAAAATAGTTGCAGTCAGCAATATCAGAGGTGTAGTCAGCAGTATTATATTTATTACATAGTGGCCTGTAGTCAGCAAAACGACAGCAACACCACAGCAGAATGTAGCCAGTGCTATTACATATAGATCCGGGTGGTCGATCTATAACACACACATGAATCATGTCATATTGTGCTACTGAATCCCTGGGGGTGGCGCTTAAACACTGAAGCGCTGATATAATCGAACGTCTCAAGGTAATCCATAGGACCCATATTTATAAGCATTGAGCAATCCGTAGGTGTGTGCATTCAAACAAGCTCACATTTACATCAACAAGGCATAGACCGTGGCGACTGAGAAATATGTTTGTTCTAAAGGAATTACAGCATGTAAACATTATACTTCAGAATATATTTACTTAAGTCACTACTAAAAATGTAATTGAAATAAATCAGATGTTTATATCCCAAGTATGTGTGTACAGGCGTCCAAAATCATAGCTATGGGACATATATCAAAAGCCAGTCATTATCATAGGATCAGGACGGGGAAAGTAAACCCCCTCCTTTCAAAAATCACCAAAGCACCTCTCTCACCCAACTCTCCATTCCTCCCTCGGGTACCCGAGCTGGCGTGGGGAGGGGTTACGAGGGGCCGGTTACGAGGGAGGGAGGCTTTATCGGGGATTGCGGTGGGTGAACTCCCTGCCCAATTGTTCATGGCTTCTAATTACGCTGTTCGGAGAGAATAGGGGAATTTGGGACAAGTTCTGCGGGTTAATGGAGCGGTGTTGCCTCGGGCTGTTGTCGGCTGTGATTGTTGGGTGGATTTCACGACGCGTAGCTAAAGCTGAGTCACGGCTTATCGGTGGCCTCTATTTTCCTGGTTAGGTTGACACAATTATCTACCCAGAAACTATGTACCAACACCGTCGTGACATCACTGATTCTCATTCATAATGTTAATATTCATAAATCAATATTCTATATGCAGCCTCTAGCATTTGACATCATCATAGTCATAGTTATCATCACCATCGTCGTTATCATCGTCATCATCATCATCGGCGCCGTCGTCGTCATCGTTATCATCGTCATCGTTGTCACCACCACCATTATCATCATCTTCGTCGTCATCATCTTAATCATCATCACCATTATTACCACCACCGACATCATTGTCAGACCGCCTCCGTGGTGTAGTGGTTAGAGCGTCCGCCTGGAGAGCTGGAAGGTCGCGGGTTCGATCCCCGGCCAAGTCATACCAAAAGACGTTAAAATATGGAACTTGTTGGTCCCTGCCTGGCGCTCGGCATTAATGGACTGGTCGGCTCGGTGTCTGAATAATGTGTCTGAGAGGGATATTCATGCTTAACTGCGGCATGGTATCTCAGTGAGCTAGCACTATAAAACCAGCTTATGTCTGGGCTAGTACAAGCAGCAACGCATACACACGCACGCACGTCGTCATATGAGCGAACTATTCTCAAGCACGACGTTAAACCCCATTTCAACTCACCTCATCGTCATCACAGTCGTTGTCGTCATCATAGTCATGGTCAACATCGCTACATCATTTTATTTGCTGTAACATCGACAGCGGCAGTGTAATTATGGAGACATAAAGAAAGAATTATGTAAACACCACCATTCATAATACCATCGTTCTGCTGCATATTTCGGACATTAAAAATAACATTCCCGACCAGTCCTAAATATGTACCGATGATAGCACAGGCGATATTGATTGTGACGTTATGCAAGTTTACCAGCCACGCGGGTTAAAAACCAGGTCCCGTAGAACACAGATAATTATTACTGTTACACAAGCAGAATAGTGCTAACGCTAAACCCTTTAATGCTCACGCTAAACTCTTTACCTGGTCTTCGATCAAAGGAAAAATTTCAGTCACAAGCGCCTTTCATCAACGTGTTGAAAACTGTATTTCTTACGGCTTTTGCGTGTCTGTACTCGTAATACTGATTTCTTGGAAAACATTAAGCCTCATTATTTTCAGTAAAATGCGAGCAACGGTAATAAATCAATATATGCTATTCAAAACAAGGCAGAGACACATAGACAATCAGAAGGCAGTGAGCCGCAGTACCAGGTATGACAGAATAACCATAGCCAGTGAAAGAGTTTTCCTCTGTTTCTTTTGAGTAGTATATTTTTAAAGTGGAATCTTACACAACGCCATGTGGATCTTATCAATGAACAAATGAATAGCCGCACAGTTTGTTAGTCTGTATGCATTGTTTGTTTAAATATTTGATAAAATCAATATTTTGTCAAGCACAACGTGTGTAAGCATACATTGTCTCATAAGGAATGGAATGTTTGCAGGACAATGTAAGTTTCTCTCTAAGTGTCAGTAACAAGCGTAATGAGGTCACACGCAGGAGTGGGGGGGAAAGGAGCTTCGCGTTGGTGATTTTTCTAGATAGGATATCACAGCATGATTGCACTGACACGTAAAATATGTGTTATGATATCAGGCATAACACGGTACAACTGACATGGAACAGGCTAAAATGACAACCACAGTGATTTCAGTCAATCAGGAAGAATACAGCATAAATCGTGTAAACTATTTCACCTATATTCATTCAGCACCTAGGCGTGTAGGTAGATCAGTGCTAGGCTACCGTAAACCACGTATCTGTTCACGAACGCTGTTACTGAGATCAATTAATACCTGATATGTACATGAACAGCTACAATTTATACTGACCTGTGACCGTGCTATAACGACAAGCAGTATCCACTTGCCCAGGGAACCTGTCATCTGGGGTGGGTGTACCCCTATCTCACCCCACCGTGGATCCACCCGACGTTACTCCTGCCCGGTAGCTGTCCCTACTGTCAATACGCTCGTTTATATGTGCGTCTACACTGCCGCCTAGCGGTAGTCTGTAGCCTATGCAACACAGCGAGCACTCGATAGTACAAACTCTCAACTCCACAAACGTTTCATCAATTGAAGTCTTGCCCCATATACCTTATTATCCCGTCCGCGTCGTTTCTTTGTTATGGAAACGTGCTCGCTTGAACGACTGCGGTGAGATAACGAGTACATTGAGTACTGAAGTGGCTCGTACGTCGAATACCGCTTAACGAATTGTGTTTATAATTTCTGTTATTATGTTAGGTTGGTTTCATACAGAGTTAACACCTGTTGTTATGCTAGAGTCGTGTGATATTGGTATTATAAGGTTTACAGAAAATTGTGGATGTTTTGAAGAAAATGTGTCACGATGCTGTTTTTTTATATATAATTCACATTGTTGGTGAGATATGCTTTTTGTTGGGGCGTTGGCCTCACCCTGATATAGGCGTCGCCCTGAAGGATGAGTATATACTTTAGCCACACACTACTTCACTAAGGGGGAAACAGACCGTGACACCTCTGTACCATGACCCATATGAATCGTGTTGCCCTTGCACTGTGATACCTTTGAACTGTGACCCTTCTGAATCGTGAATCCTTGCACTGTGACACATCTGTACCGTGACATCCCGGCACTGTGGCATCTCTGTACCGTGACATCCTGGCACTGTGACACCTCTGTACCGTGACATCCTGGCACTGTGACACCTCTGTACCGTGACATCCCGGCACTGTGACACCTCTGTACCGTGACATCCTGGCACTGTGACACCTCTGTACCGTGACATCTGCACCGTGACACCTCTGTACTGTGCACCGGCACAGTGACATCTCTGTACCGTGACATCCTGGCACTGTGACACCTCTGTACCGTGACATCCCGGCACAGTGACATCTCTGTACCGTGACATCCTGGCACTGTGACACCTCTGTACCGTGACATCCCGGCACTGTGACACCTCTGTACGGTGACATCCTGGCACTGTGACACCTCTGTACCGTGACATCCTGGCACTGTGACACCTCTGTACCGTGACATCCCGGCACAGTGACATCTCTGTACCGTGACATCCCGGCACTGTGACATCTCTGTACCGTGACATCCTGGCACTGTGACACTTCTGTACCGTGACATCCTGGCACTGTGACACCTCTGTACCGTGACATCCTGGCACTGTGATACCTCTGTACCGTGACATCCTGGCACTGTGATACTTCTGTACCGTGACATCCTGGCACTGTGACCGTACATCCTGGCACTGTGACACCGTGACATCCTGGCACTGTGATCGTGACAACTGGCACTGTGATACTTCTGTACCGTGACATCCTGGCACTGTGATATCTCTGTACCGTGACATCCTGGCACTGTGACACCCATGATTCGTGACGTCCTGGCACTGTGATACCACTGCATCGTGACAACCTGGCACACCTCTGTACCGTGATATCCTTGCACTGTGACACCTCTCTACCTTGACATCCTTGTATTGTGACACATCTGTACCGTGATACCTCTGTATTTTGACATACTGGAACTATGACACCTCAGAACCGTGACATTCTGGCACTGTGACATCATGGCATTGTGACACCTCTCTACCGTGACATCATGGCATTGTGACACATCTGTATCGTGAGACCAATGAATCGTTAATCCTTGCAATGTGACATCTCTGTACCGTGACTTCTGGCACTGTGACCCATCTGAACCGTGACATCCTGGAATATACATAGCTCTATAACCATAACCAATATGTACTATGGCATCGCAGTACCGTGACACCACTGTATCATGACACCTCCGTATTGGAAATCCTCTGCACTGTGACATCTCTGTATTATGACACTTCTGCAGAGTGACACCTCTGCATTGCGACACCTTTGTGCCATGACACCTATGCACTATGACACCTCTGTATTATGACACCTATGCACTGTGACACCTCTGTATTATGATACCTCGGCACTGTGAACCCTATATACTATGACACCTCTATACTGTGACACGCCTGTACTATGACACCTCTGTACTGTGACACCCCTGCACTGTGACACCTCTGTGGCACCACTGTATTGTTACTTTTGGGTGGTGACAAAGTTGTATTATGACAGGTCTTTATTGGGCTCTATGCTACGATATATCAGTAGAGTGACGGACATGTACTATGACACCCCTACAGGTGAGGTGAGGTGAAATTGGGTTTAACGTCGTGCTTGAGAATATTTTCGCTCATATGACGACGTGCATGCGTGTGTATGTGTATGTGCGGCTGCTTGTACTAGCCCAGACTTAAGCTGGTTTTTATAGTGCTAGCCCACTGAGATACCATGCCGCAGTGAAGCATGAATACCCCCACTCAGACACATTATACTGACTCCGAGCCGACCAGTCCTTGTTGTACCCATTAATGCCGAGCGCCAGACAGGGACCAACAAGTTCCATATTTTAAAGTCTTTTGGTATGACGCGGCCGGGGATCGAACCCGCGACCTTCTGCTCTCCGGGCGGACGCTCTAACGACTCCCCTACAAACTCACACATGGCATCTCTTTACTCCTACACGTCTGTACTACAATACGACAGTACTATGACCACACTTCTGTACGTGGACACTATGTACAATGACATCTCCATTATGACTCTTCTGTACCCTATATACTATGTACAATAACATCTCCATTATGACACCTCTGTACTTGTACACTACGTACAATTACATCTCCATTATGACTCTTCTGTACCCTATATACTATGTACAATAACATCTCCATTATGACACCTCTGTACTTGTACACTACGTACAATAACATCTCCATTATGACTCTTCTGTACCCTATATACTATGTACAATAACATCTCCATTGTGGCACCTCTGTACTTGTACACTACGTACAATAACATCTCGATTATGACACCTCTGTACTTCTACATTTATGTACAATTACATCTCCATTATGACTCTTCTGTACTTTTACACTTATGTACAATAACATCTCCATTATGACACATCTGTACTTCTACACTTATGTACAATTACATCTCCATTATGACACCTCTATACTTCTACACTTATGTACAATTACATCTCGATTATGAGACCTCTGTACTTCTACACTTATGTACAATTACATCTCCATTATGACTCTTCTGTAGTTTTACACTTATGTACAATTACATCTCCATTATGACACCTCTGTACTTCTACACTTATGTACAGTTACATCTCCATTATGACACCTCTGTACTTCTACACTTATGTACAATTACATCTCCATTATGACACCTCTGTACTTCTACACTTATGTACAATTACATCTCCATTATGACACCTCTGTACTTCTACACTTATGTACAATTACATGTCCATTATGACTCTTCTGTATTTCTACACCTATGTACAATTACATCTCCATTATGACACCTCTGTACTTCTACACTTATGTACAATTACATCTCCATTATGACACCTCTGTACTTCTACACGTATGTACAATTACATCTCCATTATGACACCTCTGTACTTCTACACTTATGTACAATTACATCTCCATTATGACTCTTCTGTACTTCTACACTTATGTACAATTACATCTCCATTATGACACCTCTGTACTTCTACACTTATGTACAATTACATCTCCATTATGACACCTCTGTACTTCTACACTTATGTACAATTACATCTCCATTATGACACCTCTGTACTTCTACACTTATGTACAATTACATCTCCATTATGACACCTCTGTACATCTACACTTATGTACAATTACATCTCCATTATGACACCTCTGTACTTCTACACTTATGTACAATTACATCTCCATTATGACACCTCTGTACTTCTACACTTATGTACAATTACATCTCCATTATGACACCTCTGTACTTCTACACTTATGTACAATTACATCTCCATTATGACACCTCTGTACTTCTACACTTATGTACAATTACATCTCCATTATGACACCTCTGTACATCTACACTTATGTACAATTACATCTCCATTATGACACCTCTGTACTTCTACACTTATGTACAATTACATCTCCATTATGACACCTCTGTACTTCTACACTTATGTACAATTACATCTCCATTATGACACCTCTGTACTTCTACACTTATGTACAATTACATCTCCATTATGACACCTCTGTACTTCTACACTTATGTACAATTACATCTCCATTATGACACCTCTGTATTTCTACACCTATGTACAATTACATCTCCATTATGACACCTCTGTACTTCTACACTTATGTACAATTACATCTCCATTATAACACCTCTGTACTTCTACACGTATGTACAATTACATCTCCATTATGACACCTCTGTACTTCTACACTTATGTACAATTACATCTCCATTATGACTCTTCTGTAGTTTTACACTTATGTACAATTACATCTCCATTATGACACCTCTGTACTTCTACACTTATGTACAATTACATCTCCATTATGACACCTCTGTACTTCTACAACATGTAATTACATCTCGATTATGACACCTCTGTACATCTACACTTATGTACAATTACATCTCCATTATGACACCTCTGTACTTCTACACTTATGTACAATTACATCTCCATTGTGACACGTCTGTACTTCTACAACATGTAATTACATCTCCATTATGACACCTCTGTACTTCTACACTTATGTACAATTACATCTCCATTATGACACCTCTGTACATCTACACTTATGTACAATTACATCTCCATTATGACACCTCTGTACTTCTACACTTATGTACAATTACATCTCCATTATGACACCTCTGTACTTCTACACTTATGTACAATTACATCTCCATTATGACACCTCTGTACATCTACACTTATGTACAATTACATCTCCATTATGACTCTTCTGTATTTCTACACTTATGTACAATTACATGTCCATTATGACTCTTCTGTATTTCTACACTTATGTACAATTACATCTCCATTATGACACCTCTATACTTCTACACTTATGTACAATTACATCTCCATTATGACTCTTCTGTATTTCTACACTTATGTACAATTACATCTCCATTATGACACCTCTGTACATCTACACTTATGTACAATTACATCTCCATTATGACACCTCTGTACTTCTACACTTATGTACAATTACATCTCGATTATGACACCTCTATACATCTACACTTATGTACAATTACATCTCCATTATGACACCTCTGTACTTCTACACTTATGTACAATTACATCTCCATTATAACACCTCTGTACTTCTACACTTATGTACAATCACATGTCCTTTATGACTCTTCTGTACTTCTACACTTATGCACAATTACATTTCGATTATGACACCTCTGTACCTCTACACTTATGTACAATTACATCTCCATTATGACTCTTCTGTACTTCTACACTTATGTACAATTACATCTCCATTATGACACCTCTGTACATCTACACTTATGTACAATTACATCTCCATTATGACACGTCTGTACTTCTACACTTATGTACAATTACATCTCGATTATGACACCTCTGTACTTCTACACTTATGTACAATTACATCTCCATTATGACACCTCTGTACTTCTACACTTATGTACAATTACATCTCCATTATGACACCTCTGTACTTCTACACTTATGTACAATTACATCTCCATTATGACTCTTCTGTACTTTTACACTTATGTACAATTACATCTCCATTATGACACCTCTATACTTCTACACTTATGTACAATTACATCTCCATTATGACACCTCTGTACTTGTACACTTATGTACAATTACATATCCATTGTGACTCTTCTGTATTACTACACTTATGTACAATTACATCTCCATTATGACACCTCTTACTTCTACACTTATGTACAATTACATCTCCATTATGACACCTCTGTACTTCTACACTTATGTACAATTACATCTCCATTATGAATCTTCTGTACTTCTACACTTATGTACAATTACATCTCCATTATGACACGTCTTTACTTCTACACTTATGTACAATTACATCTCCATTATGACTCTTCTGTACTTTTACACTTATGTACAATAACATCTCCACTATGACACATCTGTACTTCTACACTTATGTACAATTACATCTCCATTATGACACCTCTATACTTCTACACTTATGTACAATTACATCTCGATTATGACACCTCTGTACTTCTACACTTATGTACAATTACATCTCCATTATGTCTCTTTTGTAGTTTTACACTTATGTACAATTACATCTCCATTATGACACCTCTGTACTTCTACACTTATGTACAATTACATCTCCATTATAACACCTCTGTACTTCTACACTTATGTACAATTACATCTCCATTATGACAC